TAATGACTGTATCGGCGCCGCCTCGTGCTCCCACGAGGAGCTCGAACAGTTCATCCACTTCACCAACACCTTCCACCCCAACCTTTAGTTCACCTGGACCATCTCTAATACCTCTCTCACCTTCCTGGACCTCTCTGTCTCCATCTCGGGCAACCACCTAGAAACCGATATCAATTTCAAGCCCACCGACTCCCACAGCTACCTAGAATACACCTCCTCCCACCCACCTTCCTGCAAAAATGCCATCCCCTACTCCCAATTCCTTCGCCTCCGCCGCATCTGCTCCCAGGATGAGGCATTCCACTCCCGTACATCTCAGATATCCTCGTTGTTCAAGAACCGCAACTTACCCCCTCAGTGGTCAAGAACGCCCTCAACCGTGTCTCCCGCATTTCCCGCAACTCATCCCTCACACCCCGTCCTCGCAATAACAACCAAAAAAGAATCCCCCTCGTCCTCACGTACCACCTCACCAAACTCCGGATCCAACGCATCATCCTCTGACACTTCCGGCATCTGCAATCCGACCCCACCACCAAAGACATTTTTCCCTCCCCACCCTTATCTGCTTTCCGGAGGGACCACTCTCTCCATGACTCCCTTGTCCCCTCCACTCTCCCCTCCAGCCCCACCACACCCGGCATTTTTCCCTGCAACCGCAGGAAGTGCTACACCTGCCCCCACACCTCCTCCCTCACCCCCATCCCAGGCCCCAAGAAGACTTTCTACAACAAGCAGATGTTCACCTGCACATCTGCTAATGTGGTATACTGCATCCGCTGTACCCGTTGTGGCCTTCTCTACATCAGGGAAACCAAGCGGAGGCTTGGGGACCGCTTTGCAGAACACCTACGCTCGGTTCACAATAAACAACTGCACCTCCCAGTCGCGAAACATTTCAACTCCCCCTCCCATTCCTCAGACGTGTCCATCCTGGGCTTCCTGCATTGCCACAACGATGCCACCCGAAGGTTGCAGGAACAGCAACTCATATTCCGCTTGGGAACCCTGCAGCCCAATGGTATCAATGTGGATTTCACAAGCTTCAAAATCTCCCCTCCCCCTACCGCATCCCAAAACCGGCCCGGCTCGTCCCCGCCTCCCTAACCTGTTTATTCTCCCACCTATCCCCTCCTCCCCCCCCCAGCCCCCCCCCCACCCCCTACCCACACACCTCATCCCCCCCCCTTCACCTGTCCGTCCTCCCTGGACTGACCTATCCCTTCCCTACCTCCCCACCTACACTCACCTTTACTGGCTCCATCCCCGCCTCCTTCACCTGTCTGTCTCCTCTCCACCTATCTTCTCCTCTATCCATCTTCTATCCGCCTCCCCCTCTCTCCCTATTTATTTCAGAATCCCCTTCCCCTGCCCCATTTCTGAAGAAGGGACTCGACCCAAAATGTCAGCTTTCCTGCTCCTATGATGCTGCTTGGCCTGCTGTGTTCATCCAGCTCTACACCTTGTTATCTCAGATTTTCCAGCATCTGCAGTTCGTACTATCTCAGCTCTTTAACAATTGGATTGAAAGCAATGTTCAGGATACAGAATTATACTGTGCCTAGTCATTGTAATAGCAAGTCTCTCAGTAAAAAAAAAGACCCTGGGCCACAATCTTCTAGGAGCCTGAGTCACAAGTTCTGTGGCAAAAGTCATTTTGGAATCCCAAAAGGACATTGACAAGTTGATAGAGTAGACGTATATCGCAGATAAAGGTTCATGTTCTGGTGATGCATTTTGGTTGGTAGAACATTGAAAGACAATATAAAATAGTGGGTACCTGGGTGTATATGTGCACCAATCAATAAAGGTGGCAGTACAAGTGGGAAGAGCAGTTAATAAAGCCCACAGTGTCCTTAGCTTTATTATTGCTGACACAGAATACACAAGAAAGGAGGTGATGTTGAACTTGTGTCAGAAACTTGTTAGACCTCAGCTGACCTACTTTGTTCAGTTCTGGGTGCCATATTATCAGAAAGCTGTGAATGCATTGGAGAAAGGCATAAAAGGCATAGATAGAGTGGATAGTCAGAGACTTTTTCCCAGGGTGGAAATGACTATTACGAGGGGGCATAATTTTCAGGTGATTGAAGGAAGGTATAGGGAAGATGTCAGAGGTAGGTTCTTCACACAGAGAGTGGTGGGCATGTGGAATGTGTTGCCAGCAGTGGTAGTGGAGTCAGATACTTTAGAGACTTTTAAGCGACTCTTGGATAGGCACATGGAAGACAGTAAAATGTAGGGCATGCAGGGTAGATTGATCTTAGTAGGATAATAGGTCGGCACAACATTGTGGGCTGAAGGGCCTGTACTGTGCTGTACTGTTCTATGTTCTATGTTAAAGTGCAGAAGTGATTTACTGGAATGGTTCCAGGAATAAGAAACTTTAGTTACGAAGATAGATTGAAGATATTAGGAATGTTCTCTTAGAGCGAAGGCTGAGAGGAGATTTGACAGAGCTTCACAAAATCATGAGTGGGCTGGACAGAGTTGGTGTGGGATGAAGCTGTTCCTGTTTGTAAAGAAACAAGAACAAGAGGGCACATCTTTAAAGTGATGTGCAAAACAAGTGAGGGTGATGTGTGAAAAGAAAACTTTTTCACTCAGTGAGTAGTTAGAGAACGGACTACATCGCCTGGAAGTGTGTCAGGAACAGGTTCAATTGAGGCATGCAAGAGGGCATTAGATGATTATTTGGATAGAAATATTGTCCAAAGATATGGGGACAAAGCAGGATATTATTAGGTAATGATGCTATGTAGCCATGATGGCCTGAATGGGCGCCATAACAATTCTGTGATTTGATTTAAAAAATTAATGTTTCAACATTTTCTTAATGTACTCTGTGTAATAGATCTGATCTGGAACTTTCATAACTTGTGGCTTTTTCCAGATTTTGGAACAATTAAAGTATTTTTAGCATTTAATTTTACATCAAACATAAAAGCATATTTTGTTAAATACAATATTCTTCCCAGCAGTGTTCAATCATCACTTTCAAAAAAAAAAGCTTTGGAGATAAGATTTTAAAAGATTGCCTTCATTAAAGTTTAACTTGAGGGAAGTTTCATTAGTCAATATTATGCTGCTCCATTGTTTGTATATACGGATGTGAGTTTTCAACCAATTAATTGAATCCATCTAAATTGAATGCAGCATTCAGTGGCAAAGATGAAACAGCAAGGTCAGACAGCTGCATTCTACTCAGAAAAAAGATCTATCTACTTTCTTGCCAAGTGCTTCCCTGAATTAAAATTGCATAGTTGTTTTGTGTTATGGGTTGAAGACTCAATAGAGGTGTTCCAAACTCAATATACTTTTTTTTGTCTAACTATCAGTGTGTGGTAATCCCTGCCACCAGTCTCAAGCTAACACCTCATAAGATAAGCTGATTTCACCTGCTTATAAACAGATAACTGTTGGAATGCTTCTACAAAAATCCTATAAAATTGTTTTTTGCTGGATTGACTTTACAGGGTAGCTTGAATTACCTTGATCCAGTTATAAAACTCCACAAAGTAAGTGTGGAAAGTGAATCATTCATATTATATTATAGATACGAGTAATCATTTGTCATATAATTTTGTCAGCACATAAAAGAAAATAAATAATCGAAATGGTATTATTTGAGTGGAAAAAAATGGTAGGGGGAAACAGTGAAATCGAAAATGAAGCAACCATGTGAAATTGTACAACAAAAGACTTACATTTATATAGCACCTTTTACCACTACCAGTCATCCTGAAGTGCTTCACATCCAATTAAGTACTTTTTGAAGTGTAGAAACTGTTGTAATGTCGGAAACACTACAGCTAATTTGAGCACAGCAGGCTCTCACTGCAGCAACATGATTGTTTTTCATGTTGTTGATCAATATATTGTGATTATTGATCAGGAAACTAGATAAAACACCCCTGCTCTAGTTCATAATGGAGTCATTTTGTCTTTTACATCCATCTGAGACAGCAGAGGAGGCCTCGGTTTATCATCTCATCTTACAATTGGCACCTCCGACAGTCTTTTTTTAGAAATATTAATGTAAACTGTTATGCTGAATTGAATTTCAATATCTGAGATTGGGAAATGGGGAACTAAGAACTGTCTACCTTTGGAGCTGAGAGAAATGTGGCACCCAAAAGCAGTTATTAGCCACTGTGAATAGTGAGTTGGCCGAGTAGTACAAGGATTATTAGTTAATTTATAATAACCTTCTTTAAAAATAAAAATCTCTTCAAGGTACTCCTGGAGCTTTGGTAATTTTAATTCTGTTTTAGGCACACAGTAGTAGTTGCAAGGAGCTTTGAGTCTGAGCCTAATTGAGGAAATATGGCCTATTCTTATGCTTATTTGGCTGACAGTGTATTGTATTCTGTTCCAGTAACATAATATTAAAGCTGTTTGAAATTCATTGTGCATTTAGGGAAGAATCGTGAGCATGATGCTATGTAACATTAATTAATGTATCTAGCAAATTGCATAACAAGTCAAATTAGAGATTCAGAACATATCATAACCTAAATTCTAAATGCTTATTATTTTTAACTCCATGAGTGAAACACAGAAAATAAACCTGTTACAGAAAAAGTTGAAGTGATTTTACTTTGTCTTGTAATTATCAGCTAGTGAAGAACTTGCCATAAAATGTGTTTTTTTTTGTCTTGTCTAATTCCAGGTTCTAATGCTGTGGAGGCCCAGTGCAGAAAATTTGAAGTGAAAGCACAGGATGGCAAGAAGGTACTGTTTTCTGCAGATGAAAGTGAAATTGCCATTGGCGTTGACAAACTGCGTGTGACAGGTAACACTCATTACATAAAACACCTTTTTATAATTCATCTATTTATCTTTCATAGAATTGCACATGAAAGATTAAACAACTGTACTGTTTAGCAATGCAATGTAACATTCTGGCACTAATGTGAAGCCACAAATGATAAAATGATCAAGAACACTAAAATTGATAAGAAGAATTCAAGACCTAAGTAGGAGTAAAGAGTATGTGGTGAAGAATAGTTCCTGCCAGAAACCATATATCATTTAGCTTCTATAAATATTATTCAGAAGTGATTCTTTGTTTTACTTTGGTTTCATATAAAGACAGTAAGCCGACTGTTTTAACTGTAATCAAATATTTGTGGAATAAACACCAGAGAAAAATCTATATTGACTTTTTACTGTCATCATTGTCAGAGAAACAGATAGGATTACATTAAATATTACTAATGATCTACCACATTATGGTACAATCTCATGCCACCTTCTGTAGTGAAACAATATCTGATCAACTGTTGTGCTACCCTACTTTGTATACTCAAATTTGATAATGTTTAGTGGCCAAGCAAAAAAAAAATGTGCTAAGCTGTTGAGCTGCACTATCAGAAAATCCTAGATCTGAGGTTATAACATTGGCTGAATTGATCTTTTGACACAAAGCCCAATGTCATTTTAAATTATAAACCATTTATTGAGGGACCTTTTTTTTCTGACATTTGTAATGAAAGTTTACAACTGAGTATAATGGTGTTTCAGGTTTTGTTAAGAATAGCAAAGAATAGAACTATTTGCCACATATAAAAAGTATATGTCTGAATTCTAATACCCAACATCATTTTGTCTTACACTTTTACATGTTTACACGGTTCCATGTTGAAGGCAAAGCAATCTTAGGGCATAGATTGCTCAAATAGTTCTTTGTATATGATTCTGATGCTGTAATCAGGCATCACCGCAGGTGTCTTGCAGAGTTCTTCCAGTTTCATTCATTACAACATCATAACATCCTCACTTGCTACATTCCAACTGCACTTTGTAGAAATGCTCTAAGAGTGCCATCTGGTGTATTCCTAGTGTCTTCTCAAATACAGGGCTAAGTGAGTAGTAACATAATATTTTATTCCTTGTGCTATGCATTGACAGCCAACTGTGTGCACCTACGTGTAGCGTTTGTCCTATTCTGAAGCTGTCCTGCATAGCTTTGGCATGAAAGTTATATTGCTGTGTAAATGCAACATCTTGATAAGCTATACCATTCTATTTACAAACCTGGATTTTCAGATGTCTGATTTCAGTGCCATGACATCTGCCTATACCCTTTTTAAACGGTATTACAACACACATGGTTACAACGGTACACGGTTAATCTCACAGTGGTAAACAGTAAATGGTAGAGAGACATTCATATGAGCGAAATCTCTCTCAGGATTTACAGAAACATTGCCATGCATCACGCATCTGGCAAGCAACTCAAAATAAGCCTCTAAAACATTTGACATTTTTCTTTGAATGATCTCTGCTGCTGGTGCTGTTTCAAAGGCCATGCCAAAGCCTGATTAATGCTGAAACTTTCTGGAAGCTCTGCACTAGATGGCGAGATTTTCCGTCATACTATATTCTATGTTGCTTTTTCTCTGAAGAGATTATCAAAAGTTTACTTTTGAAAATCAACCTTGTCAGAATTACAGATGTTACTCGAGTTTTAAAATGATTTTTCAGCATTATGTAGTTATTTCTAAGTTGGAGAAAATGCCAATAAATTCTCGCTGTGGGAGTTTTTAAGTGGTTCTTGGTGCTGCCTTTCCAACTTCTCTAAGTTTTTTTCTAATTTGCAAATTAACCAAAAGCAATAATTTTATTATTACATCACCGTGTTTTTGCTCTGGGTAGATCTTAAATGGGTGGCAGAAGTACATATCTTGACTAACGTGGGAGTCAAAGGGTGGGTCAGAATGTGGATTTGTAGCCACAGTCAGGTCAGCCATGGCCTCATTGAATGATAGAGCAGGTTAGTGAGCCAAATGGCCTTCTCCCGCTCCTAATTCAAATTGTATATGGCAGCAGAGTGTACCAAAAGCACAAGAATGGAACCAAACAGTGTAAGGTTGAATTGTATTGTGAACCTCAATAACAAAAAAATTACTAGGCATATAAAATACATTTAAAGTCATATGACAAACAAATTTTGCATTAAATTATCTTATTTCAATCGGCTATTTTAGTAGTGCAACCATCAGAATTGTACTTCTGTGCAGAGTACACGAGGAGACACTTGGGGATCATTCTCATAAAGCTTTGTTTTCATAAGGAGATTTTGTCAATCAAAAGAAATGGGAATGTGCTATTGTAGGGTTAAATGATTGTTCATGACATTATCTGGTTAACACTTCCATTTTTAATTGAAGTAGATTCTTGGGCTGAATTTTCAGATTGCAGCAAAGGTATGACCACCAGTGTGATGGAATATGCTTCACTCGCCTGGATGAGCTTTTTAGTTCTTTATTCATTCACTGGATGAGGATGTGGCTGACCAGGCAGCATTTATTGCCCATTCCTAATTGCCCATGGGGCAGTTATGAGTCAACTACATTGCTGTGGATCTGGAGTCACATGTAGGCCAGACCAGGTAAAGATAGCAGTTTCTTTCCCTAATGGACGTTAGTGAGGCAGATGGGTTTTCCTGACAATCGATAAGGGATTCACGGTCATCATTCGATTCTTAATTCCAGATATTTTATTGAATTCAACTTCCAACATCTGCCATGGCGGGATCCAAACCCAGGTCCCCAGAACATTATCTAGGTCTCTAGATTAACTGTCCAGCGATAATACCACTAGGCCACTGCCTCCTCAGTGCAAACGCAGCTTGATCCCCGTCCTGAACAAAGCAGCCCACCTGACTGGTACCTCATCCACAAGCATCCATTCTTTCCAACACCAATACTCAGTAGTTGCAATGTGTACCAAATCACTAAATCTTCCTAGAAAGCACTTTCAAAATACACAACCAGTTCCATCGAGAAGGACAAGGGCATCAATCCATGAGAACTCCATCATTACCAGGTTCCCCTCCAACCACTCACCATCCTGACTTTGCCATTCCTCCAGTGTTGTTCGGTCAAAATTTTGCAACACCCTCCCTAAGGACATCGTGCATCTACCTATAGTATATGGACTGCAGCGTTTCAGAAAGCAGCATACTGCAACCTTCTCAAGGACAACTAGGAACAGGCAATAAATGCTGGCCCAGCCAGAGACATTCACACCTCATGAACGAATAAAAACAAAGCTGAGAATGAAAGCCTGACGGGAAAAAGTACAATCCAATCCTTAGTGCCAATTAGCCAATGTCATTCCCAGCATTGTGAGTTTCACAAGCACGGGAAGAGGAGGACGCTGAGATCCCACCTGATCTAATACAAACCAAAGTAACATAGTTAAAAAGGTCATTGAGAGCTTGTTATGGCCATGTTTTACTTTTTACAGTAATGCGTGGGCTGCACATTATTTCTAGGATAGGCCAAGTGAATGGAGGCAGTTGCACAGTAAAGATCCATTCATGGCCACCTCTGAGAACCATGTAGGCCCCAAGTAAGCTGGAATAGCACGGAGGAGAAATTGGCCATTGACACATAGTTAATAGGTCAACAAAGTTGGGATGGAGAGTGAGCAGAGATTGTTAGTTTACTGCACTGGACAGCTGTAAGATGAGGGGACAAGATTATAAAGATAAATAGGAGGTCACTTGGGCACAACAAAGGTAGTCACTGACAGTGTGGACATGACTGTCAACTTTTAGATTCAGGAGCAATGAGGAGCAACATTTACCCTTGGAAGGGCACAGCTTTGGGCATCAAGACAGCAGCGGAGAGGGATAATGGGTGTGGACATTGGAATTATACTTTCAAAATAGGATCAACTGTGAACTCCATCAACAGAAGAGATTCACACCCTCTGCATTTGCTTAGACAGCACATTAAGAGATTTCTAAATACGTGTATTCACTTTCACAGCCGCTGAAATGACTTTGTTATCCTCTGCCAGCCTATGCTCTTCACTCTATGCCCTGAAAGGTATGTGGATGAATATTCCTTGAAGAGATGGTTGCTTACTCATCTAATAGAGCTGCAGAGAATGGCACAAAGATGATGCACAAAACTGCCAGCTCACTAGGACACCGGAAAAGCTATTGAGCTTGTGAAGATACAGTCCCAGTACCTGAACTGATTGGATGGTGTCCTGTCATTCCCTCAGAGAGATGACCACTTTGAAAAGGGTGAGATCCTGGGGAGACACAATGCATTGAAGGAAGAGGAGGAGGAGGAGTTGAAAAGGGAGGATGCTAGACAGTGAGGTGCCCCGAATGTGCAAGGAACTGGAAGGGCATGATGAGAGGCTCTGCACTCAACCACCTATATCTGATGCTTTCGTTATGCCGTTGGAATAGGGAAGGAAGATTACTTGCATGAGTCTGCCTGTGATACATTGTCACTTTTCTCATTGTGGAACCGTAGTTGAGGGCTGCTGCATCTGTATTAATATAAAGGTAACCTCAATTACTGGTTCCTACTGCAGAGATGCTCTCTCCACTTGGGAAGCCAAGGATGATGAAAACATCTCATGAGGAACAAAATATATGTTTTTAAGGGCTCTATCTGAGATTTTTCTGGAGGACTACCTTTTGATTTCTGGAGGTTACATTACATTCTTTTCAGGGACTCCTTAGATATAAAGATTTAAGCTCGAAACCGAGCTGTTCTCAAAGCAAGAAGACTCAGTCTGCACCTGCATTAAAGTATTTTAAAGAAGTGAGAGACTCTGTACTGGGCAGACAGCCAAGAATTCAACTGTTAAACAGGTTTCCTCCATTCCCATCCCATGCTCCCCAAGCCTGTCGTCTTGCACCAGTAGCTGTTATTAAGGCAAATTCAAGGCCTTGAAGATAAGTCAGACTTTTCTCAATTGACTGGACTCCCCACATTTTCCACAGATCAAAACACTCTTTTCCAAAAAAATGCACACATT